TTCCCCCTAAGGAACATCCACAGACTATTTAGGAAGATGCTCTAGAGAAGCTGTAAAGAATGCAGGCTGATGAAGCTGCTCAGACACTGCTGCCAAATTGGCACACATTTGAAACATGTTTCTATATGACGTTCGTTATTATATCTGACCATCTGCAGCTTTTGTTTTTAAATCCCTGTTAATACTAAAGAAATAACACTACTGCTCGTCCAAGTAGATTCAAAGTGAATGAAAATAAATGTTGTCATCCTATCATTACTTTATCTTGGCAGCTTCAGGATGGAGGGTTTCTCAGATTCAGCAAATGTGTACTATGCACCCACTTTGTACTGGGTTCTGCCCTAGGTATTGGGAATAAAGATATTACTGGAATATGTGAAAATCCTTCCATTTAGGGCTTGTCTTCTAATGAATGGAATAAAAATAACAAAGTAAAAAGGGTAAATGTACGTGTCTGATGGTACTGTATTAAGTTTTGTGGGAAAAATAAGACAAAGGTTTATATATTTGGGAGGGAATGCTTATAGTTTTAAATCTGATGATCAGGAAATGAGTATTTTTTCTTTGAATAATGATTTAAAGGCGATAAGGGAGAGAGCTTTGCACATTTTTGGAGAAAGAACATTCCAGACAGACAAAGCACATAGTGCAAATGTTCTGAGGTTGGAAGGTGCTCCATCTTGGAGGAATTTCCATAGGAACCAGTGAGGAAGAGCAGGAGACTGGAGCAGGAGGCTGGATAAGGGGTGAGGGGAGCTAGAGTAGTAGGAGACAAGGTTAAGGTATGATCTTTGTTGGTGTGTACCCTGGGGCAGATCATGCAAGATAGCAGACCATCACCTTATGGCTTTAAGGCAGAGGGAGAGGAACAGTTATTGGAGCATTTGGAGAGGAAAACTCAGGATCTCACATACGTATTAATTAGCTGTGCATACAAGTTTGTTAGGAAATGTGAAAATTGAATGTGGACTATCTTTTGCCTGATATAAAGGAGTATTATTATTATAGTCAT